AGGTAAATATGGTAATATGATCCTTGAATGTATAAGCAAGGAAAGAGCAAATAGGACTAGACTGATTATAGTACTTGTGCATTTACTACATATGTAACTGCTGGTGGAATACTATGTCAGTGTTGTAATGGGCAATAGAAAAAGGATGCTGGGAACTTGGAAGGGGTTCAAAGAAAAGTCACAAGAATAAGTAAAAGATTGGAAAACATGTCTTACAGTACAAAACTCAAAGTGTACCATCTCTTTAGCTTTCCAAAGAAGATTAAGGAAAACTTTACATGAGGACTAGACATTTCCTTATAAAGGGTTTATCAATGTAATGGACAAGATCCAATGGGTAATCAGCCACATTTTTAACACTGAGTTTAGTTACTCTTTAGAACCATTTTCTTTCGGTCGTAGCAGATTCTCCATTACTGGATTTTTTAAAATTAAGTTAGAATTAGTTTTGTTTTTTAAAAAAGATGTTGTAGTTAAAACAAGGAATTATTAATCCAAGGAAGTCTTATGGCTCTATTATTCAAGAGGTCAGCCTAGAAAATCACAATAATCCCTTTTTACCTTCCAATGTGGGAACCAAACAGAAGGAACATGTTCTCTTTTTCTGATTTTGAATGTTATTCTGGCCTCAATCCTCCAATCTGGTCCTTTTCTGTGAAATTCAAGACCTATGCAGAACCCATCTGAAGTCATAGAGAGATGATCCACCTTCACATGACAATGCCTGGGGAATCAGGCATTTGCTTACTCCTAAAATACATTCTAAAAAGAAAGAATAAACTACTTTGTGTTATTAGGTGGCAGATACTTAGCTGGCAAAAAGCCAAAAGGTTTTCCCTACCTCTGACACACACATATATATAACTGAGAAATCAATTGAATGTGTCTGGGAGAAAAAGAGCAAACAGCAAAGGACAAGTGATTTAAATTAAAATGCAAAGTGTAGAACAAAATTCTACTGGCAGATTTAAGGGGGAAAAATGGAATTATGACTCATTCTGAACTGTATAAAATTTCAGTCTTCCACCATTGTCCAAACACCCTAAGGTTAGAGCTGAAGTGGCAAGAGAAACCGTAAAATAAGATTCTATTTTTATCTTAGATAAATCACTGATTTTCATATACTTGAAAATTGTTTTTTGGCAGACGGGTGTATTCAAAAATGTATTTTATATCTATACTAAATTGGGTCAAAGAATGACCTATCTATAAAAATAACATCTTCATTTGTGATTTATTCTTACACTGTCAATTGTCTACAAGTTAATATGGTGGCACTGAGCATGTATTGAAGGGCCACTTTGCTTTAAGCTTGAATGAGTTTGATTTGATGCTAATGTTCCAGGCTATGTGACAGAAGAGTTAACCAAGTGCTGCCTATGTAATATCTTGTAGCAAAGATCACACACTTCCTGCTCCGTAGTATTTCACTGGTAATATCTGATCGCAGGACATTTCTCTGGTGATATGTCATATAAAAAACTCTGATGTTTCTCAGGGAATAAGTGAAAGGGTGGATCCTCCATGCCTGGTCCCCTCCAGGTGTTCCCCACCAGCCTGGGACCAGGCATGCAGTGGGGTTACCCACTTGTTGGCTGCCATCATCTCTGTCCTGGGCTGAGCCCAGTCCCCATGCAGCCCTGCTGGAGTGGCTCTTGAACTCCCCTCACCCTTGGAAAAAGAGGGACAGTGGCATCAGGAGGGGAAGGGGTGGAGAGAAGGGCTCATGCTTCTAAGCAGGGAAGGGTAGCAGGTAATATATTTTTACCCTTTTGGATATTTTATCCCGATTCTTCTCCCTTAGTGCATTCTGACCACCTCAGTGTGTGTGTGTATGGGGGGGAGCTAGAAGTGTAAGGTGGGGGCAGGGGGTTGTAGTGCAGCCACACCTGCAGTACTAACTGTTGATTCCACACCCCCTTTGTAAAATCCTGGATCTGCTTCTGATAATGTACAATGTATAAAGAGCAGTTGAAGCAGTTTTCTTTGCCCTATGCCCATCCATTATGCCCCTTGTATTACGGGAGTCAGGGAGAGACCTACAATCCCTTATACTCACCACAAGAGTAAACGTGAAGGTGCAGTCAACTGTCAGGTTTGTAACTCCTCCGACACAAGGAATATGCTCCAGCTTTCTTGGAAATTCTCTGATGAAAGTACAGTGTTCATGAAAGATACTAATTCTGGCTGCGTTTTCATAACGATCAGTGGTACTCAAACTTTTTGCACTGCAGGCTGGATTGGCAGCACCTGGGCCATCCACAGGCCAGATCCAGCTGGTGTTCTTGATCTGGCACACAGGTACAGCAGGCATTATATGGCTGCATGGAGCTGTGTGGGGGATAGGCCTTGCTGGACAAAGGAGCTTGACCTGCCCCCATTGAGAGGGAAGGGGACATAATCTCTGTGGCAGGGGAGAGGGGGCAAAGGGCGGAGGAATAGGGCAATGTTAGGCCCCAACGCAGCCCCACAGAGAGGTAAGAGTGTGTAGCTCAGCCTTTATGGGGAGTGGGAATGTGACCATGACCCGACCCAGCCCCACAGAGGGATCCTGACCCAGCCCTGCAAGGGAAGGGGATATGGCCAGACCCCAACCTGGCTCTGCGGGAAGGGAAGGGGGCATGACCTGGCCCCGCCCCAATCCAGAAGAAGCGGGTGGTATGGCCAAGACCCATAGGGGAAGTGATCACAGCCCAGCCTGGTCAACCACATGGGGCTTGGGGTTTGGGAATTTGGCAGGGGGCAGGGTGGCCATATTAATGACCACCCTTCCCTGAGTGCCAAATATCCTGTCCTGCAGAGAGAACCCAGAAGGCAGATGTGGTGGCTCTGTGGGCTACGTTTGGTCCACAGGCCACAGGTTGAAAACCTCTGATCTAAGAGATTTAGATACCCAATGAAAAGATGCCATACACATTCCTTAAATAGTATTGTAAGTCTCAGTTTAACATGTATAGACTCTAAAAATTAAACTATATCCATATAAACAAGGAAATACAGTAAATTACAAGGAAATTCTTCTCATATTTGAAATTAAGATCTATCTTGCTAGATTAAGTAACAGGTCCATCTAGCTGAGTATACAGTTTCTGACTGGAGCGAATACTAAATTAATCAAATAAAAATCTATATGGTAGATATAATAACCTGCCTATTGGAGAAATAACTTATTTTATTTATGGTTTATATGAAGAAGCATGGGAGTTTACATTGCTTATCTATTTTGATTCTTTACATGCACACACACACACACGTGCATGCTCACGCACGCACGCATGTGCGCACGCACACACACACACACACACACACACACACAGACTCACAGACTTTTGGACTCAATAATATGGCTGTGAGCTACCCAAGTGTGTAAAATCACACAGCCTTAATCAATTTTCCCTGTCATTGACTTTTACTTATGGCCTCTTGTACACTGAATGATCAAAGCCCAATGAACAAGTTATTAAAGAAACAGAAGGTAAATAAGGAAAAGATAAGTAGACATACAAATTGAAAATCTATTTCATGATTCATTGTATAGAAATATGCATTTCATTTGTTATATAACTGGCATTTATTGTTTTTTCAGTTATTTTTCAGGAATGTTTCTATTGGGGGAAGTGATAGTACAAATGTGTTTTTACAGGATTTTTGTGAATTACAGATGTGTGAAGAAGCAAAATATGTTTTTTGTAAATATCATTTTAGCAAGCCTTGTATGTGCTTCTACCAGATTAGGAAAAAGATCATTTAAATACATGTGAATGAAAGTCCTGAAAATAAAAGGCCAATATGGTGGGGGAAAGGCAGGCATGTTACATTGTGGAATAATTTTCTGGGTTCTCTTCAAACAGAAAGAAGTAAATTAATACTTTAAACCTGGGGCCCACATCTAGACAAATAGGGGCATTTGGTTTGTTGTGCCACAAACTGCCCATATGGAACGTTAAAAAGTGCCCAGCTCTGCAAATTTGTCCCAATGGGGACAAATTTTGCTACAGGGATTTTCCAATAGCAAACAAAAGCAGAGCATGCTACAATAGCATGCGCTGGAATAAATGGAAGCTTGGTCCTCCAACGAGGTGCTCTGGCAGCCAGCCAGAGTGTCACTATGCTCCTTTTGTGCCCCAATAGCTCCAGCATGCCAGGAGCTGGGCAAAGGCAATTTGTCCACAGGAGGACCATTTGTCCCACAAACAAAATACACATGCAGAGGTGTGCACTGAGGCACAAAGCAGCAGCACAAATTTGTACCACTACTATTTCTGCCACTGCAAGTACATGCCCTGCTTGTCTAAACTCAGCCATAGTGCATTTCCCCCTTAGACTGTTTTCCTTTGAAAAGAATGATGAGCAATGTACAATACCTATGTGAAGAAAAATAGATTATTACAGGGATGGATAAGAAATTACATTGGCAACAACTTTTCACCTGCTACAGTTATGAAGGAAGCCTCAGGAAAGGTCAAATCTTATAATATCCCAATGGTTCTTAAATTCAGTAATTTAGACAAAACTGTTTAGCATATTGGCATTGGGCAGGAAAGCAGACATTGTTTATGGGTAGCTGTTTTGTCCCAATTAATATTTTATTAAAATAAAATATTACAAATCTTTCTGCAAATTGGGCTCACGGAAAATAATATTGGAATGGTGAATGCAGCAGAACCTCCACCAGTAGGTGGCACTGTATCTGTTTAGTGTTAAATATCTCATGTTGATATTATGTATTTTCTGATAGGAGCGGGAGGGAGCTACAAAAAGAGTTTATTCTGATTTTATTATGTCTAAAATTCCAATTAAGATTTTCAGTGTATTTATTTTATGTGGAAAATCTGTGTTCAGATTTTCTCAGTGTTTTTAAGAGTGCATGCAGGATGTCAGACAAGTCTGGGACTGGACCGGAGTGGAGACGGCTTCTTCTGTGCTCAAATGCTGAATAAGTTGTCCCATTCACAGGTGCTTCAAATCCACTTACAGTTCTTCTCTCAGGGGACTGGAAAGAGATGCTGAGGTCTAGAATGAATCTCTCATCTTTTATTTCTGATTTTGATATGCCTATAAAGAATACCAGAAGGCTGGAACTTCAAAGAGCCTAAAGCTCTTCCCATGGAAGGTAACAATATTTCTATATTGTGGGTATGTCAACTTTGCTCTGAATATGTGTTCAGTGTGGCTTATGAATTGCCTGTGAATGAATAAGTCAGATCTGTTAATGCTTCATCTACAGCAGCAAGGGAAAAAAAAAACTTTTATGTTGGTATCCAGGCCAGAAGGTCTGAAGCTGCTGCAGCTACTGCCTACCGGCGTTCATAAACTGAAATTTTTTATGGATCATCATCATTATGCTGGCTGACTGGCTGGCTGAACAATTCAGGTGATAAGTGACTAATGCTTGGAGTAAGCTCTGGATGCTGATGGGGAACAAAAAGACTTATGTGCTGCTTTTGCTGCTAGTGATGTTTTGTCAGTGCAATTGTGCATGTACTTTCTTATCTAAATACTGTCTGTTCTCTTGATTCTGTGGCTACATGAATTTGCTTCTAGTTGACCTGCCTACTTCATTGAAATGCTAAGCTTTTCTCATGTTTCCTTGCTTAATGCAACACTGACAAAAACATTGGCTATCACTGCCATTCCTTTTTTTTTTTTCCATCCCGCCCCCCACCCCCTCTTATTTTTTCAGCTTTTCTGTGTAGGCAAAAAAAACATTACATGTATAGTGAACTCTTTTAACTGGTGGATTACAAACTTTTTTTCAGACTGAAATAGAAAACAATTGGCAAATTTAAGATTTCCAATACTGGTTTCTTCTGCAGTGTATATGACAGTGTTCCTGTAGCATTTTCTCAGTTTAATTTTCCTGGGCACATCTACATATGCAGTGACTCAAGCCTAGATTTACTTCACAGTAAGGGTTTTTGGGTAGGTGTCTACAAATGTGTGGATTAGGAAACAAATTAGTGCTCAGTTCCCTCCAACCTTGCAATGCAGCCCTCTGGCCACCAGGGGAAGCTCCAGGCTCCCCCTGGGTGCTAGCCCAGTGACTGCCAGGGGGCTCCAAGTCATGAGACAACTGTTTTCTGGCCCCAGGGGGCTGCCTTCTGCTGGGGCAGGGACAATGTTCCCCTGCCCCGGCAGTAGGGAGCTCCTGGCTCTGGCTCCCCAATAAAGGACATAGGGTTTGGAAACAGCTGCTGTGGATGGGGTAGGGTCCAGCCCCCTGTCCTGATCTGCCAGTGGGTCAGCTAACAGCTAGCTCACTGCTGCCCCAGTGGTGGACTGGGGAAGGGGGCTGAGACATGCCCCACCCCTGTGGCTCCTTCTAAGCCCTGTGGCTTGATCACCCAATAGGGACATGGGGCTGGGACCTGCCCCCAACTGTGGCAGTTCCCGGACAGCTCTGGGCTACATAGAGAAGTCTGCATGTGCAGCCTGGAGCTGGCTGCAGACTGCCCAAAACAGGACAGTCCCCATCCACCTCCTGGATGCATGTGCTTCCCCATGCAGCCTGGGACTGCCTGGGAACCATCCCAGCCAGCTCGAGGCTGAGTGGGAAACTGTCCCCATGCAAAGAGTTCCCAGCCCCTGCTCTGTGATCAAAACTGTGATGCTGGAGTGGGGGTTGGGGAGCTTGTTCCAACTAAGGATAAGGCCACAACTAAGGACAGGGACTTCAATTGGGGTCTGGCGATTCTCCTGCTAGGAGTAAAGCCAAAGGTTCCTGACTAGAGGGTCTTGCCCCTCCACTCAGGGTCAGACAGATAGCCGTATTTGGGGCCAGGAAGGAATTTTACCTTATGGTCAGATTGGGGTTGACTTTGGGGGGGTTTGCCTTCCATTTTAGTGGGGGACATGGCCCTCTACCTGGGACCTCTTGAGCGTATATTGACAACATTTTATAAAAGCAGGAGTGCCATGGTTCCTCTGCTTTACTGGTGGCAGGTTAGGGTATTAGGTCTATATTGTGTCAGGGTTGAGGGTAGTCTTATGCATAGGCGTAGACAGTAAAAAAATTAGGGGGGGTCTAGGCATCTGCGCACAGGTGCCCCCCCCAGTGGGAGAGTCTGCAAGGGAAGAGGTGGGGGAAGGTGAAAGGGGCAGGGACAGGGGGAGGGTGATGTGGCAGCAGGGCACAGACACAGGGAG